TATGGAAATTACTTTTCTCGCTTCGAAAAACAAGCAATTGATTCAAAATATTATCATTACAATTATTGTCATTATTAATACTATTATTATTATTACTACTATTATTGTCATTATTATTATATTATTATTTTCCACATTATTCACCCTCTTTTATACTTATACAGCGGCTCGTCTTTGGTGGAAATTCGACTGTATCTAAACGTTCTTGAGTCACTGTCCGGTTGAAAATTGTATGTTACCACCGAATACGAGAACTGAAGCAGTTTTTCTGAAACCACGTGCACCATTCAAACTGGCTGCCTTCGAAGTTCGCACATTTATGCAGGTCGGACAACAGATAGGGCTGGCTATGTCTTTGGAAAGTCTTAATATTCATGTTTGCTGTCTATCCGAGACCCGTATTCAAGACTCTGGTGAAGTACTACAAATTCGATCTCCATCTGTCGCTTCGAAAAGCTTGTTTCACGTGCGCTTATCCGGGGACCCTGTGGCATCTTCGTCTGGTCTTGCAGGCGTTGGTGTCGCACTAAGCGCTAGAGCTGAGGCAGCACTAGTCGATTGGATCCCCATTAACAGTTGGTTATGTGCTGTTAGATTAGAAAGTTCCATCAAAGTGAGAAGAAATCGGCGTGAGAAACGATGTCTTTTCGTCATCTCCGCCTATGCCCCGACAGATTGCAGCCCGGATGCAATCAAGGATGAGTTTTACCACCAGTTATCTGTTCTTCTCCAGAAAGCGCGTTCCACAGATATTGTAGTACTAGCCGGAGACTTGAATGCTCAGGTCGGGCGTCTAGGCCGATGGGGACTCGTTGGTCGCAGGTCAGATAACGGGGACCGTCTGCTGCAACTTTGCACAGACTACAACCTGTTTCTGGCTAACACTAACTTTCGGCACAGTCATCGCCGATGTGCCACCTGGCGTCTTCCCTCTGCATCTCAAGCCTGGACTCAGATTGATCACATCGCGATCAGCTACCGCTGGCGTGGTTGTGTACAAGACTGCCACTCCTTTTGGAGTACCTATCTGGACTCTGACCATGCCTTGGTCTGCGCCAATCTTGCCTTACTTTTCAGTGGACAACGAATTGACCACCACCAAAAGACTGATGTTAGCAAGCTGGTTGCAACTTCTGTTGCAAATAAGTATCGAACCGAGCTAGCCTCTAGGCTAGCTACCACTCCACCGAAAAGTATAGATGAGCATTGGTTGCAATTGCATGACGCCATGAAAATGTCGGGAACAGTCAGTTGTGGGTTTGCGAAACGTCCCGCTTATAAGCACTGGGTTTCTGCAGGTTCCTTACAATTCATTGAAGCCCGTCGGTCTACTCCGGGTGACCGTGAGTTTGACCACAAACGAAGGATGTTACGTAAGGAAATCGGGCAAAGCTTGCGTAAGGACCGAGAAGCCTGGTGGTCGAAGTGTGCTAATAAGCTGGAAGCAGCAGCTGCATCTGGTAACTACCGGAAGCTCTTCCAGCTCATCCGAGCCACTGGCAGCAAGAAGTCTGATGTGAGTGGAACAATCTGCGAGGATAACGGGATGCCAATCACTAACATCCATCGACGTCTTGGACGATGGGCAGAATTTTTCGAAGGGCAGTTCAACTGGCCTGATGCTCCGGCAACATCGGTCAGACTGTTCTGCCCTCCATGGCCGGTGACGACTGATCCACCAAACGAGGAGGAAGTCCGCAAGGAACTCCAACTCTTGAAGCGTTACAAATCACCTGTCCCAGATGACTTACCTCCGGCTCTTTTTAAAGATGGTGGAGACTTTTTGACTAAGGAATTGACGACGTCGTTTACAAAGGTTTGGGAACTAGAGAGTGTACCAACGTCATGGAATGAGTCGATAGTTGTCCCTATCTTTAAAAAAGGTTCACGTCGTTCCTGTAACAACTATCGGGGGATAAGTCTACTTCCGATTGCGTCCAAGCTATTGGCTTCCATCATACTTCGTAGGTTGTTCAAAACCCGAGAAAGATTGACTCGCGAGGAGCAGGCTGGGTTTCGTTCTGGTCGAGGACGTATTGATCATATCTTCACCCTCCGCCAAATGTTAGAACATCGCCATACTTATCAAAGGCCAACAATCGTAGTGTTTCTTGACATCAGGGCTGCCTTCGATTCGTTGGACAGGGCTGTTCTCTGGGATTGTCTATTGAAGAAGGGTGTGCCTGAGAAGTTTATTAACATCCTAAAAGCCCTATATAAAAACACCTCAGGCAGAGTGAGGGCATACAACCACCTCTCTCCATTGTTCCATTCGAGCAGTGGGGTTAGGCAGGGTTGCCCAATCTCACCATTCCTCTTCAACTTTGCCATCGATGACATTCTGGAAACAGCTCTGATGAATATAAGTAATGGTGGTGTGGATCTGTTTCCTGGAGAAAGACTTCTCGACATTGAGTATGCGGACGATATTGTCTTACTGTGCGATAATGCCCAAGGCATGCAATCCACACTTAATCAGTTGGCAATCAGTGTCCGTAGGTATGGTATGTGCTTTGCACCTTCGAAGTGCAAAGTACTTCTACAAGACTGGCAGGATTCCAATCCTGTACTCACCCTGGATGGTGAGCAGACAGACGTAGTCGAGAAGTTCGTGTATCTGGGTAGCTGCATAAGTGCTGGTGGGGATGTGAGTGATGAGATCAATGCACGTATAGTGAAAGACAGAGCAGCTTATGCCAATCTGGGCCATCTTTGGCGCCTTTGTGATGTTAGTCTGGCTGTAAAAGGTCGGATCTACAACGCGTCGGTGAGAGCAGTTTTGCCCTATGCTTGTGAAACCTGGCCTCTCCGAGTTGAGGATGTTGGACGACTCTATGTGTTCGACCATCGTTGTCTCCGAAGGATTGCTGACATCCAGTGGCAACACTATGTTAGTAATGCAGAGGTCCGACATCGTGTGTTCGGGCACAGAGATGACAATGCAATTGGTGTCACCATCTTGAAACACCGACTTCGGTGGCTTGGACATGTTCTACGAATGTCGTCCCAGAGAATTCCACGTCGTGGATTATTTGCCGACTCTGGGACTGGTTGGAAAAAGCGGAGAGATGGTCAGTGCATGACATGGTGTCGTGGTATGAAAGAAAGCTGTAAAGGGCTGGCTTGTGTTGGTCGTTCACGACTCCCTGGTTGGGGTCCGAGAGATGGTGCAACACAGTGGCTAGAGACGTTATCAGATATGGCTCAGAATAGAAGCCAGTGGCGATCCTGCTGTAACCTTCTTTTACTTTCTTCGTAAAAAGTGGTTGTGTCTCCCTTACCTGAAAGATTTCCGATTGTACCTTTGCGTTCCCTCATTACTACCACACTACCTTACACCAATCTCTTCGTTATTGTTCTCTTTTTTTTCTATTTCTCTTCGAATTCTCATTGTTTTGTGTGGCGCATATATGTTGGCGCTCTCTTGTACCAATATTTGTGTTCAAATAAATAAATAAACATATGCCTAATTCTACCAGAATTTATCATTTCTTCAGTTGATATCAATGCATGGTCAAAATAATATTTGTGCTGAAAATACTTCGAATAAACCTTCAATCAGGAATTCGAAGAACTTACCGCCCTATTAAGAGTAAATAAAATATATAATACTTTTAAACAGAGCAAGAACAATAATGTTTGGATGCATCACTTACATTCTATTCATGTCCACTATCGAGATGTCTGGCAACTGCACTTGTAAACACTTCAATTCCTCTTAGCTATAGGTTACAAGGAGTGTGTTAAGAAAATTTTGTAGAAGTCCTCTTTGTCCTTCCTATGTACCTGAAGCAGCAGGTACATGTAAATTTATAAATGCAATTGGAAGTGACATCGGGAGAGTATTGATCTATCTTTGAATGGTAAAACGAACACTTGGTGTTGTATGGTGAAACAGTTGAGCAGCAGGGAAGTATCTTTTCGGTGACGCCTTCAATCTCCAGTCGATTCTTCCTGAAACATCACCTTCCTTGAACAGAAGGCTGATGAAGACAGGTTTATTTACGATAGATGGTTGTTAATCATCCTTGGAATATTCTTTTCCGTAGTTCATACTAAATTTTCTCGGGTATCCATTTTTTATAAGATCCTTTTCCAGAATAGCCAATTCCTCATTTATTTTTCCGTTTAAGCATAACATCTTAGCTCTATTGAAGAGCGTTTTTACTAGAAAATTTTTGTAACTGATAGGGCTAAAACTGTCAAATACTGTCCTATCCATGGTTTTTTTCTATATATACTTTCCTTAAAACTTCCATCATTTTTCCGTCTTACACTTAAAAATTGTGTTGGTTCTCTTTTATATTCCATCGTAAACGTTATGTTGGGATGAGAGTTGTTGAAGTAACTGAGTAACCTAGAAGCCTTTCTCTGCCATGTGTCCAATAACCTTTGTTAATTTTTTTAACTACGTCTCCAACACCAACTATGTTTATTCAAACACTTTGTGTACCTATTCTTCTTATTATGAGTTCGGATACATTGCGAAAATTTATCTAAACTTCACAAACTAAAGTATGCTAAACATTTATTAATAATTATATTTATATTAGTAATTGTAGTTTTAGGTTGTATGCAACTGATGAGAAACCGTGAAATAGAATGGATTCATTTTATCTCACAAACCTCGTTGTTTAAATTTTTGAGAACAAACAATAAACAAGCATTATGATTGCATTACATTAGATGGTTAATACTATGAGTAAATTATTCGTGCGTGAACTCAGCTTAGATGAATGACTGCCACAAAACGCTATATTGTGCATACAAGAATGAAAGACATATACACAATTGGGAACGAATCACGTGGAACATATTCCATAAACGGCTTTTTTACTAGTTCTTTTTTACTTGCCCTCGTATTCAGTTGGTTCATGCAGGAAGAACGAGTATTGACTGCTTGATTATAAACCCCTTAAGTTCTGAACCTTATTCGGTAAGATTTTAAACAGTACAGCAATACACTTTCTTAAATGTAATATGCAAGAACTATTATGATGTACGATGTGAACACTATTATTTTCAGATTAAAATGCTTCAATGTACAAAATATCCTCATTACTAAGCAAGGTAATACGAAAATTAATTATCTTCTAAACTCCTCATTTTAATTTATTCAAGACGATTAGGTCGAAAAAAATTAGACTGGAACAATGCTAGATATATATAGATTTAATAGTAATAATTTCCCACAATTTTTATTCAAACACGATACAGTAAGACGATAAAATAAATGAAGCTTAATGATTTCTTCTAATATACTTGCAAAATTAACCCTAAAATGAATGAGAACTGGTAGTCTGACTAAATGGAAAAATAGCCGTCACAAATTCAAACAATGGTATCAGTGTTAGTAGTAGTAGCAATAACAAATAATCATATTAATAGTAATACGAATGTGATTAATTTTTTTACATTTTCCCAAAGTAACTTTATTACAATGGAATTAAAAATGCAGACATGAGAATCCTTGACTCAAAACTAAGCCCATCAAAAATGAGTAAGAAAATGTTACGTGAGAATTTTGACAATATAATGTGTACAATGAACAGTTGATACATTGATCAAGTTAACTGTATATATGTGTGTTTATTTAAATATGCATCTATCAATGTTCAGTAACCATTTTAAGGCACAAAATAAGAAAAAGCAATGTACAAATCACATAAACATGGAAAGTAATGGATTTACGTAAGCCATTGGGCGCACATCTGGATGAGCTACTGCTGTAAAGCTGGTAAACATTGGAGACATTTCACCGGGTTTATTACTACCTATCAATGTAATAAAAGCTCCTCGATTATGCATTGTGTCACAGTAATTAGGAGCTGAGAAAACAGTAATACAGCGACCGTTGTGAGCAACTTCGTAACCTTCATCTTTCACCTTAAAAAACAATACAAAAATTTCTTAGATGACTCACAACACAGAATGCAGATCTCGGTTTATGTACGTAATATAAATCAAGTACTGTACGCATTAATACCATCGAAAACAGCAACTATTTCCACTAACTGTTAGATGAATATAACTGGCAGAATCAACCAGTTTGAAAGAAAGGCATGCGGTGTAAATAAATATCATTACTTTTAAATATTATCGAACATGTATAAAAATAAGATTATTAGGAAATTGCTAATCGATTCTTAAAAATGAACAAAACAGACAACACAAACCAATGTAAAGCCTACACCAAAATGATGGTTGCTCTATTTCATAACTTTCGGATATCGTACACAATTATCATGATTGATTTCGCATAATACCCAATTGGAAATCTATGCGGTAAATTCCCTGCTAAAATCTAGCTATCTAGCGACATGAACCTCAAAATTACACCTAAAAATATAACATGTAAACATTTCTGACGAAAATCCGGATTTCGTAACAATGTCTGCAGCTTTAGGAAGCTAAATCATGTCCAACGTTTAAACATGGACGACTCCCAGGTTAATAACTCAAGATCGACTGAAGAAATTGAAGCCAGTCCGACAGTCAAAATTAAAACAAACTTGACATTTAACAGCCAAACTAGCCTCACGACGGCACCAATGGTAGCCAAGATTGATATGATCCACTTTGGCTTCCAATATACTTAAATTACTCTTATTAATCACAGTAACATCATCGCTCACACAGCCACCCGGATACAAAAACTTTTCGACTACTTCTAACGGCAATATACCAATAGTGAGCGCAGGCGCAGCCTGCTACAAGTCTAGCAAAGGTCCTTTACATTTAGTACTTGCCAAATACATACCATACTTACGGATATTGCTTGCCAACAACATCGATGAGATTGTTCTGTCCCCCATGGTTGGTGACTGACTTCCCTAATGGAAGGTCCTAAAGGATCTTTGTTGGGGCAGCACACCAGCTGAACTATCCCTCAAAGAAATCTATCGATCGAATATGTTAGGAAAAGTCAGGTAGTGAGAGTGTCCCAACATTCTTGAATGAAGCGACAGCCCCTTTTATTTTAAAAATGGACTGACATCATTCAAGTAACAACTATCGAGGGACAAATTTACTTCATACTACATTCAAACTATTGGTTTTTGTCATACTTGACTGACTTTTCAAAATCCGTGAAATATTGTCTCGCGATTAGTAGGTCAGCCTTTGTTATGATCATCGGTGTGCTGATTATATTTATTTTATTTATTTATTTGAACACATAAATATTGGTACAAGAGAGCGCCAATATATATGCGCCACACAAAACAATGGGAATTCGAAGAGAAGTAAAAAGAAAAAAAACTAAGGAACGCAAAAGAAAAAGAGAGTAATGACGAAGAGGTACAAGTGCCCCCTGAATGCCCTGGTACGGCCGAGAGTGGGGAGAGTCCGCTCTCCCTCTCGAAATACTCTCACACGGCCGTGCGTATACAGCCTCTGCCAAGGAAGTCCTACTCATTGCTTTCTCGTGGCGGGGGTGTTGTTTACGAAAATGAGAGGACGAAAAGCGAATGTCCGGCGCTTCAACCGGATTCCAAATCAATGGTACACATGGGCTCCAGTATCCTGCGGGAACGAATGGCGTATGAACCAATCGTTGGTCACCGGCTACCATGGGACTGCATCTCCTTACGATGCTCCACTGCCTTGTCGGTTAGACCCTTAGGTCAAAGGCTCGGGGAGTGGCCCCCTAAGATAACCACCTGCTTCGGTTTGGGCACCCGGGCAGTATCACAGCCCACACACAAATGATGAACTCTTTATGTCTATGGAAATTACTTTTGTGCTGATTATATCTTTACTCACCACCAAATTTCAGAACACCGCCACACCTACTGGAGGCCAATGATAATTGTGTTTATTGATAGCAGGACCGACTTCAATCCGCAGAACAGAATTGTAAACTATGGGATTATTTGTTGAAGGAAGGTGTGTGTGAGAAGTTTATTGATACATTGAAAGCTCTGAATACAAACAACTCAAGGAGAGTGTGATCATAAAACCGCCTCCTCCTATTGTTTTATTTCAGTAATTTTATTTATTTATTTGAACACAAATATTGATACAAAGGGGCACCAAATACATATGCGCCACACAAGTCACTTGATTTGCGTGTGGGCTGTGATACTTCCCAGGTGCTCAAACCGAAGCAGGTGGTCTTCTTGAGGAGTCACATCCGGAGCATTCGACCTAAAGGTATGATCCACAAGGCAGTGGAGCAACGTAAGGAGATACAGTCCAATAATGGCCGGTGACCAAGAGTAGGTTCATACGCCTTTTGTTCCTTCAGGATCCTGGAGCCAATGTGCACCATTAGTTTGGAATCAGGGTTTTACAACTCCCCTATGTAGATCCTTCATACCCACCGATCCTGTTGAAGCGCCGGAAATTCGCTTTTCATGGTCTCAATTTCGTAAACAACACCTCCATAGCGAGAAAGCAGTGAGTAGGATCTCTATGACAGTGGCTGTATACACACGGTTATGTGAGACCATACTCTCCACACCTTTGACCGTACCAGGGCACTTGGGCTATCACACGGGGTTGGAACCCAGGACTTTCGGTCTTGCGCACGAATGCCTCCAGTAATGGTGTCTATCATTAAAAGGTGTACCTCAGAAGTATATAATCCATGTGAAGGCTCTTTACTGAAACACTACCGGCCGAGTTAGAGCTTATAGAGAACTGTCATCTGATCTTGCAATCTTAAGTGATGTATGACAAGGCTGTCCACTATCTCCATTTTTGCTCACTTTTGTCATAGACCTACCGTTAGAAATAACGTTCACGTCGACTGAATTTTCAGGAATTGATCTCCTTCCGGGAGGTCCACACAGATGACATAGTTATGTTTGATGAAGACGCTGATAAAATGCAGTGTTTTAGTAGCATTGAGCAACAATGCCATGAAGTTTGGAATGCATTCCTCTCCCTCTAAATGAAAGTTGTTGCTTTAGGACTGGTCTGTGTCAACACCTGAACTAAAGATAGGGAATGAAGTAGTCGACCGCATCGACAACTTCATTAATCTTGGAAGTTCGATCAGCCCTAATGGATTGGTGTCTGACAAAATCTCTTGTACGGATTCAAAAGGCTCGTTTGGCTTTTGCTAACTCACGTCACCTATGGCGAGAGCGAGATATCCGTCTATCAATCTATATATACTGCGCAGACGTTCTCTATATTTTACCTTACAGCTGCGAAACGTGGCCATTAAGGGTAGAGGATACTTGTAAGTTGCTAGTATTTGATCACAAATGTCTCAGAAATATTGAGAGCATCTGCTGGGATCACTGGGTAAGTAATAGTGAGGTTAGACGCAGGGTATTAGGGAATGATGGTAAATCAGTTGATGAGGTTGTGAGTCTTCATTGACTGAGATAGTTGGATCACGTATTACGCATGCCCAACCACCGATTACCATGACGCGCAATGCTGACTAGTGTTGAAGACGGATGGAAGAAAGTCGGGAGCGACCAAACCAAAGCATGGCATCAGTCCATAAAGTCATTAACTTCTGGTCTGAGCCATGTTGGTGTAGATGCTGACTACTTGGTTGGGGTCCGCGCGAGTGTCGTAACCAGTGGCTAGAGACTCTGGGTGACATGGTTCAGAACCGATCACAATGAAGTAGGTGTATACACTCTTTGTCTTCTCATAAACGATGAGTTTAAAATTACTTTAGACCTTTCTACGAACTAATTCTTCCTTCCTGTATTATATCCTTATACACAATCTCTCTTTGAAGTAACTACTTCTATGAATTTGGTGTTCATCTTGATGTATTAATGTGTGGCAACTTGAACCGTTGCATATATGTGCCTGGTCCACGGTCACGGTTTCCCAGTTTCATTATTCCTCTTTAACTGTACCATCGATGATATACTGGGAACATCCCTGATGCAAGTAGATAGTAGTGGTGTCAATTTATCACATGGAAAAAGGCTTTCTGACCCTCAGTATGCGGATGATTTACTTGACTGTGGGATGATAATCAAGATATGCAGTTCATAAGTAATGAGCTGACAACTATTATCCATCAGTATAGCATGTACTTGCAAAGTCTTAATGTAAAGGACTTTTGCAAGACTAGTTGACACTTGTGTCGGTGAGACGAAGTAGTGGGTTGAAACATTATCAAAAATGGCTTAGAATAGAAACATGTGACAGTCCATATGTAGTTCTCTTTTACCTTTTTATAAGAAATATTATAGGAATATCTTCAACTGAAAGAACTGTTCTTGGCTGTATTTTCTTAACTAGAATGCTCCTCTCAAGATATACTACCCTCATCGTCTACTGAAATACGAAACGACAACTGTCTATTCCAATTTTCAAAGTTAGTCCTACACCACCAACAAGACCACGAGTTTGCTGTTGAAGATCACCCAATCAGTTATCATCAATGTACAGTCTGGCACAGATATATTTTGACCTAATTTGTCATACAGCGTTAGTAAGACGAGTTGAAATTAACAAGATGCATAGCAGAGGAGACCATAGTAAAGTAGTAGCAATGACAAGGAAAATGACTCAGCACTGAGAATAGGGTTCGGAGAGACAATGGAGGAGTACATATGAACGGAAACTGGAATTCAAAAATTGAGTGCAACTGCACCACTGATTGCAGTTATCACACAGAGCCTAATCAGGTAGTCGGCATCTACTAACATGGCGCAAACTAACAGTTAATGGCCTCAAGGACTGATATAGTATGGCAGCCCCTAGCTTTTCTGCAAACTACTCCTACACCAATGAACAATCGCGATTTCTAGATACACGAAGATTAAACTATGTTGGATTGCTATATTTATCAAATGAACGATCACGCTGGGATCTAGAGAGAGAAGAGATTGGACTTTTAATTTTAGAGTAAATCAAGCAACTTTAGGGTATTTTGAAAACAGAACACTTGATGATCAATGCACTTACTTCATGACTTCTAATAATATAGTCTAGACCATTTTGCTTACAGAACTTTTCAGTGACATCAGGACCAAATTGACAACCGACTCCACGTTTAGAATGGGCTCGACCTTCAGCCTCCATTGGGTCAGACCATAGTAATTCACACATTATAGTGCCTTCGTCAGGTTGACGATTTCGAGACACCTTTTTTATTTCATCTAATGTAACATTATCGCGTTCGAACAATCCACCATGCATAACCTAATTGAATGTGTTAACATTGTAAATAAAGTAAAAAAGAATATTGTGAGATAAACTTCTCTGATTAATTTTTACAGCTAGAAATAAATAGGCAGTAAGAACATGGAAAATCACAGAACTAATAGATAATCGCGATCTATCAGAAAATACCATTTGTGTAATAAACTTGGGGTGATAGCTTGGCTAAACATCAACCAATAAAAGTATAAGCATTAAACATTTGGTTTTGAAGAAAAGCTTAGTAATTAAAGAGGTTAGTTTCCAACCGACGGCCAGTCAGTCAGTAACAACGTAGAACTTTGTACGTACGTACATCAGTTCGAGTTGCCAAACCACATTAGCACACAGATGTAGTGGTCGATTCAAATCCCGTAGTGGTAGAGGTAATAAGAGTATAAGCAGTAATCGAAAAAATTAGTGTTTGGAGATATACTTCTTTGGTTCTACTTTGAGTGACAAACACTGCCATAGAACCTTACGATCAACAGAGTCGAATTCTGCTTTAAGGTCGAGAAATACTACAATTGTGGGGCGTCTGAATGTGTGTCTGTGTTCTAGGACCTGACGTAGTGTGAATATGTGGTCTATACAACCACGTCCAGGTTGAAAACCAGCCTGATTTTCTCTAGTCTGCTCTTCACGAGCTTTGATTAGGCGTCGAAGTATTATTGAAGCTAATATTTTAGACAATATATTAGTCAAACTGATTCCTCTGTGATTGTCACAAGAGGACTTTTGTCCTTTCATATAGACTGGCACAATTAGTGATTGAGACCAGTCAGATGGGATTACGTCCAGTTCCCAAATTCTACCTAAGACCTCGGTTAATCTTACTGCTAATACTGGACCATCATCCTTAAAAATCTCAGGAGTAAACCTGTCAGGGCCTGCTGCTCTCCCTCGTTTCAGATTTCCTATGGCTTTTTCAACTTCGTAAAGGGACGGAGGACCTACATTAACTTGCCATTGAGGTTGACTAGAGATCGTGGGGAACCGAAGTGTGGCTGAAGGCCAGTTGAACTGATCCCTAAAGTGTTCAGCCCATCGATCCAATCTCCTGGATTGAGAATGAATAATATGTCCATCTTTCTCTGAGATTGTTTCGCTAACGGTCGGGTTCCTGATTCCGGTTTCCTTAACGAGTCTGAACAATTGTCTGCTATTACCTATTGCCGCTGCCTTTTCCATCTCTCTTGCTCTCGCCACCCACCACTGTTCGCGATCATTGCATAGGCTTCTGGTCAGCTTGCGCTTAAGCTGACTCCGCTCTTCATTATGTTCAGAGCCAGGTGGAATGAGTTTCCGAGCATCTATCAGTGAGATAGATGCTGCTGAGATCCAGTGTTGCTCCCTAACCTTCTGGTTTACCTTACTAGCAGATAGCACTGCTGTTTCCACAGCTTTTCGGATATCATTCCATGCTGCATCGGGGTGGGCATCACATACATGGCTGCCTAACTGTTTTCCTAGTTGTTCCTGAAATATACTCTTAGCTTGACTATCATTAAGTAGGCCCCTAAGAGGTTTTCTTGCAGCGTCTTTCCTACGTCCTGTAAGACGCAAGCGAATACGCGCTCGCACTAGAGCGTGATCTGAATCTAAGCATGTGCTCCAGAATGAGCGACAGTCTTCTATCGAGCCCCTCCATCGGTGGCTGATAGCAATGTGATCTATTTGGGTCCAACGTTGGGACGAATTAGGGGGTCGCCATGTTAAAAGATGTTTTTCCTTATGCTTAAAGTTAGTATTTGCAAGGAACAGGCGGTTATCTGAGCATAGCTGCAACAGACGGTCGCCATTATCTGTTCTTTGAGCCACGACACCATAAGATCCACCTAGGTGTCTTTCCCTATCGCTTAGTTTACCTACTTGAGCATTAAAGTCACCGGCCACTAATACTACATCCGAGCGCTTAGCTTTTCGGAGAAGGTCGGAAAGCTTTCTGTAAAACTCATTTCTTACATCATCTGAGCTGCAGTCAGTGGGAGAATAGGCAGATACGACGAAGAGGCAACGACGAGTGTTCCTATCTTTCCGAGTCCTTACTGTTCCGTTTAGTCGGACAGCGCACAAACGACTGTCTACTGGGATCCAGTCTAAGAGAGCTAGTTCTGCCCTAGAACACAATGCTATACCTACGCCGGCGAGTCCACCAAAAGCAGCATCTGGGCTTGCAGATACACGAAGTGTGAATCGAGTTGGTTTTTTGTTTTGACATGGTGATGTTAAATGAATGACGCTACTCGAATCCTGAATGCGCGTTTCGGAGACGCAGCACACATCGATGGCGCGAGATTCTAAAGTCTTAGCTAAGGAAGCCTACTGTCTCATTTGGCAAAGTGTTTGTACGTTAAAAGCTCCTACGTGTAGTTTAGAGCGTGGTTTCAGGAGACCAGGAATAGCGTTCCACGTACTCGAATCGTTTGCCTTAGCGGTGCGAGGTGATAAAAGGACGTGAGAAGGGTTAGTCGGGATTTGAATGTGACCAACTTGGTCTCGTGTGCTGTTACGGGTATGAGGGCTGATGTCACTTCCCGGCTGCCCACACCGTGGAAGGGTATTTTTTGAGGAACCTGGAAAAGAAGTCGGATTAGTGTTGGTATTAACGACCTGGGAGCGTGACCTAAGAGCCCAAGGGACAACTGCCTGAGGCCGGTCGCGCACGGCCTTCTCGTGGAAGGTTTTTAATGTGTTAGTTCCGTTCTTCAAAGGGCCTTACCGCCGGAGACGGAAATCCGTGAGGTGTGACATTTTTAGGGTCGACCTTTTCTAACCCCACTCCTCCTTGTGGGAAGGCAGCATCGCTGTCATGCTGGTTGTCCGAGGGAAACACCTTACTGCTGTCACACCTCGCTACAGTCAGCAGTACGACTTCGCCCTCAGACCTTGAGTTGCTGCTTTTAGTCTTACCGTTCTCCAATCGAACTGCCTGGCATGGTAGAACCTACAGGAACATATGTTCCAGCCAATATAGCTCGGTTGGGTCATCACGATAGGCAAGCCCGACCATCGCATCAAGGTAGCAGCTTCAGTCGGGTTCTAACCGACGGGCTATAGATTCGAACTTCACTCCATTTGCTTATGAGTGGGTAGCTAGTTGGGTAGTATTACCGAACATTAACCAAATAATGTGGTTTAAGGCTGAATACAGAAAAATGTACTTCACAAATGGGTAACGCTGAAGCCCGATATGAAAAGTTGCACAGCTAAATAATTTTTGGTCCTAGACACAATTATTGATTACCACGAATTACCACAAATGGCTACTTCCTTGAAACATAAAATTTGTGGTTACACTTAACAAAATAATATAGTAATAATATAAACAAATAGGAAAAGAACCACTCATATAAGATGCTTTTAAAATAAGCTTATTTAGTTTTGTTAATGTAACACGTAGAGCGATTGACATTTGCTTTAATTATGATTCAGTGGACTACGTATATTTTATGCTATAAAACTGTACACTCATCCTCCTACAACTAGAACTTTGTGGCAAAGCGATATTTAATCAAAGCCAACATACCATGATATAACTCTAACACTATTATAAACAGGATCTTATTTGTAAGATGATTCACTACCATGAGCAACTACAAGCGCAAACTACTCTCAGTCTTCGTATTACAGAAACATACACCAATATTCGGCAGATAAAAACAATGTTACAGAGATAAGTTTAGAGAAGAAAAGTTATTTTTTGTTATATTTTCTGCTATACTTTTGATTGCTCGACTATGTTTTCGACCATGTGGTTAAAACGATCATTCAAACATCTATTCAAATTAAACGAACAAATATGCAAGAACTCACAGACAATTATTTGAACATGGAAAAATGACGTATGTAAATCGCTTACCAGAATTCTTTCGTTAATCAGATGGCATAGAGGTAACCAGTTGAATATATCCGTGAACATATTGGCCACTTCAGAAGAATATTTTGACTTTACCTCACCTTCAAAGCCATAAAGTCTGTTCATGTGTTCGGATTCATGGTTACCTATTGGGACAATTAAACATATACATAAGTATATGAAGCCGAAAATTATAAGAGCATAGAATATCTGATTTAATACTAACTGCTCACCTCTGGAAAGATAAAACTTGTCTGGATAGAGAAGCTTAAACCCGAACAAGGTGAAAATACACTCCACGGAAAACGATCCCCGATCAACAAAGTCACCATTGAACAACTAGAGAAACAAATCCTAAAAGTAATATTGCTTACGTAAGGATTATCTTTGCTCGGAAGCCCGTTAATTTTGAATATGTTCATAAGATCGTAGAACTGACCGTGTATATCCCCACAAACAGTAAACTTAGACTGTTCTGGGACTTTAATGTCTACCAAACTTGGTAAACCGCGAAGAAATAAGAAAATATCTTTCATTATCTACAAATAAACAAAAATAAATATTGTGTTGGACATATTGTAATACACAGCAAACGCTATCATATTATAAATAGACGCAACTCATACTCATTAACAATGAGAATTTTTTACTAATTTCGGAGTTAGTTAGGAAGGGGAGTAAGTAGTGAGGGAAGGATGAGTCTAATTCGGTGACTCGGTCTTTTTAGCAAAACAAATTAATTAGTAAAGCGCAAGGTCAACTGAAAGCAGAAAATTGCTCACACTGGGACTTTATATACCTTGATATTGACATTATAATAGATCAGTGTTTAAGCAATAAAATGCTATACATAAATGATTTCAGTCTCTCAGTCACGTGATTTAGAACATGGAATCTAGGTGTATCGACTTCATACTAGCACGGCAGTAAAGAGTCAACCAGATTAAAACAAAATCCCGATAATGATACCAAAGACATTAGTAAACTACGAAAAGAGAATATGGTTCATAAGAAGAGAATGAAATTAAAGGATGTTTAATTATTAATGATATTAGACCTCCCTCTCTAAATGCTCTCACACGGCCACGCGTTTACAGCCTCTGCCAAGGAAGTCCTACACACGGCCTTCTCGTGGCGGGGGTGTTGTTTACGCAAATGAGAGGACGAAAAGCGAATGTCCGGCTCTTTAACCGGATCCCGAACCAAATCAATGGGGCACATGGGCTTCAGTATCCTGAGGGAACAAATGGCGTATAAACCAATCGTTGGTCACCGGCTACCATGGGACTGCATCTCCTCACGATGCTCCACTGCCTTGTGGGTCAGACCTTAAGGTCAAAGGCTCGGGGTGTGGCCCTCTAAGAAAACCATCTGCTTCGGTCCGGGCACCCGGGTAGTATCACAGCCCTCACACAAATCGAATGATTTATGTGGTGCATATCTATTTGGTGCCTCATTGTACCAATGTTTAGGTGTTTAAATAAATAAATAAATAAAGTATATTGATTCACATAATATATATTACTGCACTGTCGCTTGTTGTGCACTATTATATCACCGAGAAATGAAATTAAAAAATGAATATTTTGTGGACCAATAAGAGTTGCTTCACTGCTGTTTGGATTAGACCCTTAGGTCAAAGACTTTAGGTGACAACATAAAAAAACTACCTGCTTTGGTTTGGGGACGCGGACAGTATCATAGCCCCCATACAAAACAATGATAACAACTGCTGAAAAGATTTTAGTGCTCGCTAAGAAAAATCATATTCACAATCATACGATAACATTCATTTATATTTCATTTATGCTACGACACTTATGCATTCCTCTTTATTATTATTTTGCGTATCTTATTTTATTTTTTATTTTTCAACATTACAGCAGCTTGCCTATGACGAAAACCATGTCCTATCTAAACGATCTTGAGTCACTGACTGGTCGAAGAAAGTTGGATGCTATCACCGACTATGAATCCTGGAGCAGTCTTTCTAAAACCACATACACCATTCAAAACTGGTCTCTTCCAACATTCGCACTTTAACCCAGATCAGACAACAGATAAGGGGAGTATTTCTTTAAAAAGTCTCAGCATCGATGTCTGTTGTCCGTCCGCGAACCATATTCAAGAATCTAGTGAAGTACTACAAATTCGCTCTCCATATGTCGCTTCAAAAAGCTTGACTCACGTACGTTTATCTGGGGACCCTGTGGCATCTTTGTCTGATTTTCCTGGCATTGATGTTGCACTAAGCACAAGAGCTGGTGTAGCAGTGACCGATTGGATCTCCATCAACAGTCTGTTATGTGCTGTTACGTTAGAAAGCTACATCAAAGTGCGAAAAGAATCGGTGTGAAAAAAGATATCTTTTCGCCATCTACACATTTGCTTTGACAGATTGCAGCCCGGATGCGATCAAGGATGAGTTCTACCACCATTTAACAGTTCTTCTGCAGAAAGTGTGTACGACAGATATTGTAGTACTAGCCGGAGTCTTGGATGCTTAGGTCAGGTGTCTAGGTACAAAAGAGAATAGTTTAGGTGGCCGATAAGGGCTTGTTTGTCGCAGGTTGGATAACGGTGACCACCTACCACAACTTTGTGCAGACTATAACCTGTTTCCGGCTCGCACTACCTACCACTACAGTCATCGCCCATGCGTCACCTGACTTCCTCCTTGTGCATCTCAAACCTGGACTCAGATTGATCGCATCGCGATCACCTACCACTGGTGTGGCTGTGTACAAGACTGCCACTCCTTGTGGAGTATCTATCTGAACTCTGATCATGCCCTTGTTTACGTCAATTTTTTCTTACGTTTTAGCGGCCAACAAATTTATCGTCCCAAACGGATCGATATCAGCCAATTGGTTGCAGCTTCTATTGCAAATAAATGTCGAAGCCAACTGGGTTCAAGGCTAGCTACCATCCACCAAAAAGTATAGATGAGCGTTGAATGCACTTGCATGACGCCATGAAAATGGCGAGTAAAGTTGCATGCGGCTCCGCGAAACGTCCCACTTATAGGCACAGGGTTTCTACAGCGTCCTTACAAATCACTGAAGTACGTCAGTCTACTCCGGATGGCTGTGAGTTTGATCATAAACGAGGAGTGTTACGTAATGAGATTGTGCAAGGCTTGTGTAGGGACCGAGAAGCCTAGTAGTCGCAGCGTGCCACTGAGTTAGAAACAGCAGTTGCATCCGGTAACTGCTGGGAGCTCTTTCAACTCATCCGAGTCACTGGCAGCGAGAAGTCTGATGTGAGCGAAACAATCTATGAAGATGACGAGATGCCAATCATTAACACCAACCGATGTCTTGGACGAGTACCAGTTCAACTGGTCTGCTGCCCCGGCAACATCGATCACTGTCCTGCTCTCCATGGCCTGTGACGACTGACCCACCTAACGAGGCAGAAGTCCGCAAGGAACTCCGATTTTTGAAGCGCTACAATTCACCAGGCTCAGATGACTTAGCTTCGGTCCTTTGTAAAGATGGTGGTGACTTTCCGGTTAGGGAACTAACTAAGTTCTTTAGAATGGTCTGGCAATTAGGGAGTGTTCCAACATCATGGAATGAGTCGATAGTTGTTATTATCCTTAGAAAGGGTTCATCTCGTTTCTGCAACAATTGTCGGAGGATACGTCCACTTTCGATTGCGTCCAAACTATTGGATTCCGTCATACTTCGTAGATTGTTCAAAATCCAAGAAAGATTGTTTCGAGATGTGCAGGCTGGTTTACTGGTATTGTCTATTGAAGTAGGATGTGCATGAGAAGTTTAATAATATCTCAAAAGCCCTATATACAAATACCCCAGGCAGAATGAGGGCATACAACCATCTCTCTCCACTGTTCCATTCAAGCAATGGGGTTGCTCAATCTCACCATTGCTCTTCAACTTTGCCTTTGATGACGTTCTGGGAATAGCTCTGACGGATGTAGGTAATGATGGTGCAGATCTGTTGCCTGAAGAAAGACGTTTCAACATTGAGTATGCAGATGATACTATTTTACTGTGTGATGATACTCAAGTCATGCAATCCGCACTAAATCAGTTGGCAATCAGTATCCGTAGGTAAGGTATGTGCTTTGCACCTTCGAAATGCAAAGTACTTTCACAAAACTGGCAGGACCATAATCCTGCACTCACCCTGGGTAGTGAGCGGATACAAGTAGTTAAGAAGTTCGTGTATCTAATTTGCTGTGTAAGTGCTGTTGATAGTTTGAATGATGAGATAAATTCACGTATAATGAAAGCCAGAGAAGTTTATGCCAATCTGGGTCACCTTTGGCGCCTTCGTGATGTTAGTCCGGCTGTAAAAGGTCGGATCTACAACGCGTCGGTAAGAGCAGTTTTGTTCTATGCTTGTGAAACCTGGCCTCTCCGAGTTGATGATGTTAGAAGACTGTGTGTCTGGTCATCGTTGTCTCCGAAGGATTGCTGACATCCAGTGGCAACGTTATGTTATTAATGCAGAGGTTCGACATCGTGTGTTCGGGCACAGCGGTGATAATTCAATTAGTGTCACTATCTTGAAACATCGACTTCAGTGGCTTGGATATGTATTTTATGAATGTCGCCCCAGAGAATCCCACGTCAGGCATTATTTGCTGACGCTAGGACCGATTGCAAAAAGCGGAGAGGTGGTAGGGGAACATTACGAGACTTATTAGTGAATAGCTCTTCTGGATATCAATCGACTTGCATTCATAACAAAAGCCACAATATTAACTGAGATCCAACTTAAATATAATTTGAAATTCACTCAGGAAAGTATAAATATCCAGTTAAGCTAGCGCATTTTTGTGGAAAATGATAAAGTTGCGAGTTGTTTGATTCAAATTATAGTAAATTGGCAATTACTTTATTTAGAATATGGAATGGGCATATCGCTGTTAAATTGCTAAATTGGTCAAAAATGTCAACTTACTATAATGGCATATTTCTTGTGTAATACTTTCTGAGATTTGTAGTGCTCCATTAAAGCCAACATAAACGACTCAGTGACAAAGTATTTTCCATTGCTATCTTGTTCTAAGTGCGGACCATCGTAACTAGATTCTACGGTAATTGTTGACAGATCAAAAGATTCTAATGGGGATGGCTGATCTTCTACTGCAATGGCTTTTTCAAATGCTTTGCGACGAATTATTTTCCGGCATTCAGTCAACTTCTCACGAGCCATTTTGTCACTAGGTGCAACTCGAATAACCTAGTTGAGATGAAACCTCATATTAGCAGATAACAGTAAAGCGGACATTTTTAATAACTCGACATATAAACACCAGATGTTATTGGTTTTCAAAACTAGACCAGGTGGAAATTGAAACTTTATAGTTAGAATCAGTTGAATTAAGTAAATCGCTATTTTACTGAGGTTAAATTGCTTTAAAAGTAGCTTGTCACAAACAGTTACAGCAAAAGTACGATTATGTCCTTACAAAATAAGTTTCATAAGTCACGATGTAAATGATGTACGTAATGGTATATCCCTATGCTATTTAAACAGACATAAAATATATTGCAAATCAGACTACGGTAATAGTTTATAAATTATGGCATTAAATTTATATTCAACATGGAAATAATTAGTGACAAAATACTTTATCAGTGTGCAGCGCAGCAGTTTATTCCATGTTATAAGATATCCATACGAGATCCACGTGATCACATATCTTGAAAATCCAAACAAAAGAAATACCACTGTGGACAGAAAATTCTCCACTTGCAACACCTTGGTATGAGGGTGAATCTACGTCATTTTATCCAACCAATTTATACTACCTTTATAGGAACCAACTACAGGAGTTATCGGCTGCAACATAAAGGATACATCAAACTATGTGACTAACGTGAAGACTAATGCAGTAGAACAAAGTATTGACAAGATATCCGAAACACTTCGAAGAAGTTTAGTGACAAAGAAACGCCTTTATTTTTACCTTACCGTTGCTGCTTCAAACTAAGACATGAATAGATATGATGCGTACCAAAACGGATATTAATGTCCGGACTTTAGTGACTTCGTCAAGGATCATTGAGAGATACTGAGCCACAGGCAGAATTCTATGTTTTAAACATCTTCAAAATTTTTATATCCCTTTACATCACTAAACCGAAGAAACTTAGTCGTGATACATTGAATACTGAGAGATAGCTAAGAATTCGACAGATATTTTTTTGTAAACTGGTAAGAAAATTCGCAGGTTAGAAATTGGCTGTATAATAGTAGAGAAGAACCTTGCACTACCTTCCAGGACTTATTGTGGAGGGAAGAGGTTGCTGAGTCCAATCGAAAGTATAAAAACAAAACACAAACAGGGCCCTTCGAGATGAGTAGCACACAGGTTGGTTTTATCTTTAAATTTTGGAAGATTCTGTATGGAATGCCACATCAAATGTTGATGATTTAAAGACATAATTAAGCAAACAATTGGGATTTTCAGAATACGTGTGATATCAGACAAAGTGTGTGGAGTGACATTATACGTATTGGTGAATCTTCCATCATTGCTATACTTCGTGTTTAGTTCAACTCATTCGGTATTAAACGGCAAAGCTTAAATACATCACTGTTAAACGTCCAGATATCAGGTTAATATGAAAACTTATGTACTTACAGTTTCGTAGTCTGCTAATGCCTCCTTATACTGACCTAATGCCATATGTGCAGATGCCCTGCGATAATAACCCTGGACAAATAAAAAGATTAAAATGACAAACCTTCACATAAGAACTATCCAAAGATATAGCTTTAGAAGCATCATCCAAGGCATAGCCAAAACACTCTGTACGAAGATAAGCGAGGCTCCTGTTGGCCAAATAAACAGCAGTCTCCCGAATTTCTATCGCCTTCGTGTATGCATCAATGGCTTTTTCATAGTCCCCATCTATTAGTCGAAAAATACCGTTAAACACGTGTCCATATTTGTAAGTGTGAGGTCTGTCTATGCATTACCTTTGAAAAATTTGTTAGCTTCTTCTTTTAATGCTTCTGCTTCATCCGAAATAGTCGATAACGTCATTCTTTAATTCACGTGTGCGCCGTTCAGAAAAAGTTTGGACAGACGGGCTCTCAATTAAATGGTCAAATGTTGGGTTGCTAAGAATTTTAGTAAGAAATTCAGTTTTCAGTCTTCAGCAATAAGGATAGTAGATGAGCGAACCTGTTTTAAACCTGTCAGATTGCCTGCCAGTGAAAGTTCAGCTTCTTGAAAATATTCACTGATGGGAATGATACCACTTGTTCGGGTAAGTCGTCCCAGTTATTGACAACTTGATGAGAAAAACGAGGTCTCACTTTAAGTTTATTAGATCGCGGTTTATGAACCTTCTTGCTATGACCTCGTGGATTATTAGTGCTGGAGGGAGTGTAGGGCCATTACTTAAAAGCAAGAGTAACCCAGGCGAGGTTCATAATTTCATTAGATTGTTTCGTACTATATTTATGATGCGTGATAACATTTCGTAGTTGCTTTCACGTAAATTAGGCATATATTCCGTCACTGCCGTTAAGTTTTAGTCGAAATCATGTACATTTATGACTCGTTAGTCGACATACTGTGGTAAAACATATTGCATGTACACGAGCATTCATAGTCCATGTCCTAAATAGACACTTTGTCGTACGTAATATGTCACTTAACTCTAGGTAATAAGCTTTTTGTATCAGCCTTTTACGAAATGGTCACGTTATCTGAACCCTTTAAACTTAAGTTACATTGGTGGTTACCATTTTAATTAGTGATTACTATACTCCTAGTATTTGCTATAATGGCTCGATTTCCTTATTACACGACAGTCATTTTAATCCCATTTTCGGTTATTTATATACAATACGGGTTTGGAAAATATCTAAACGTCCTTGAAAATTCTCCACGAACCCAAGCATAGTTTTCTTATATGTTTTTATTCACACGTCCAACTGTTACGCTAATAATACCTAAACGAACGTTCAGTGCAACTGTCAGTATACGTAAGAATGATGTTATTTATATTTGACTTTATAACACATCCGAACCATTGTAGTTATTCTACTTCAATGTCGTACTTTGCTTTATGAAGTATTGTTTCCTCGTGGCTGTTATCTAACAGATTATTTCGGTACATCAATCGGCTGTTCAACTACTCGACGATTTAAAACCTGACCAGTTCAATTGGTGGTCTGACGACATTATCATTCGCGCGAATCATCAGTTTTTGCAGTCGAGCGAATCTCCTGCAAACTGAAAACGACATTGTCGCCTCTATCCCAACAGTGAGGGAGTTTTTCACTGGTATCATTGACATGAGTCCAGAGCGACACTCTTGGTTTCTTATGTTCTTTTCGATATTTTTCTGTTTACTAACCGGACAAACACGCAGCACTCACCGTTTATCAACTTTTAGAGACTTCACCATGCCACCTTTGCAGTCAATTTGTAGCCTTCGACCCTTACTCACTGTAACAGCAGTCATCAACTTTTCTAACTCTGACTACAAGTTGATTAATAGCTTCGCACAGCGAAATCACGACCACTCTTCACGGTTATATTTCTGTACTTACGGTTAGTCTGTTAAATATAGACATAACTAGAAGCTGTCAACGACACTGTCTGACACTCAAATTTAAATCAATGGCAGTATAGACATAGGCATCGATTGATAATACACTTATCCTACTATCGCTCTAGAATCATTACTCTTGCGGCAAACTAAGCGTTTCTCATCGGAGGAACTAAATTACTTGTCAAAGCTATATATATTTCAGCGCGACTTGATAGAAGAATAAAACGTTTCGTTCTTTTTATTATTTCTATGGTTAATCGCTTTACGTTTAACCTACGTCGTACTAACATATTATTACTCACTATTTTCCCGATCAGTTTCTGCCGCCTACTTTCCATTTTGTTTTACAGCTCGGCAATACCCGGTAGATTCATATTAATCGTTTGGTAATCTCCGGCGCGACTACTCCCAGCATGTTTGGTACCGATTCAAACGGCCGTTAAATCTGGTGGAGGAATATCGTAGGGCCAGTGAAATGTCACTAAGCCCTAGCCAAATCATCTGACAGTTGGGTCATTGAGTGTCGAACAAGTCATCGATCCTCGTCAAGGTTAAGGATAACCAACACGCATCAGTTTATCGTATGCCATGCCCATGCGGCAGTGGTCTCACTTTCGCTTGTATCTAATTTAACAAATATATTTCTGTCATAACCTCCTCTGTGTTGTACAGTCTTCAAAGCATCTACTGTACCTTGATACGTCAATTGATTTGTCCACGTAAGGTGCTGACCACGAGGTGTGACTTCGAGGTTAGCTAGTTTGTCACACCATTCACGTCTAACTCGAGTAGGCCTCCAATCATTTTCGACATAGATCATATACGTTGGTGATCTACAGGAGCAAAAAGATAAGACACATTAACGCCCAAATCATAATTAAAGATACGAGATGCCAGTATAAGGTCGTTGTCTAGGGCTCCTGTCCAATCATTTCTCGTAATAATTAAGTTGGTCACGCATGAATACTTGTTACGAGACCCAGGTTGCTCGGGAGTACACCTATCGCAACCTGCCTTACCGTTATGATTCACCGTGTACCTAACAGAAGAACGAGCAGGTGCGTCACATATAACAGCCGCCAACCGAATAGCTATGCATTTATTAAACTTGACACTAAAAAGATCAACGTCAGTCATTTCTTTTATTTCAGAAATTGTGTCCGCAGAAAATTCGTTGAATTCTGCCGGTTTACTATTACCTCCGTAGATCCCTGTCATGAACACGTCACCAAACCTAGGGGCAATGATCCGTCCTAGTATAGGCCATAACTGTTGATTGGAGCCGAACGAACGTGGCTTTAGGGAATAGTTCGTGCAATTGTTTTGATGTTCTACCTAGATTTCAATAAACATTATTTTTTCAAACAGCTTACTGTTTTACTTACATGGGAAACTATTGAAGTGTTGAGAATGTGTGTTCGAGTTTCAGTTAACTTTTGGTTAAATACACATTCCTTATAAATAAAACATCACCTGTTCCTTCTTTTGCAGATAATTTCAAATAACAATGAATTAGCAATTGCGTTGGATATGCAAAACAATCTATGCTTAAGCTTCGACTGTACCCAGACAACCCAAATAGGGGAAATAAATGCGAAGAAAGGGGTAAATGCTTAGGTAGAGAAAGGGGAAAACGCGCCAGAATGTCGCCTTTTTCGCCTGTCCGGGCAAGAATTTCAAACAAATCCAAAGGAGAATTATCAGAGTATCTCATGCTTGAGGTCAAGTGTAAAAATATTTAACTGTGTGCCTTCATTTGGTTAAGGTTATTATAAACAAAGACGTCGGTAGCGAATGTTGAATTCTCTTCAGAAAACTGGTATTTATATAAGGCAGTGCCTCTACGGGTGTAAAATGAGTCATAATTATGATCCTTTGTAAACTGATCAACATAAAATATAGTTCATTTCCACATGACTCAGCACCAGAGTAAAGTTTATCCAGATACATTACTAAATATAATGATAAACGTAACTGGACGATAATTGCACACCACATGCTCACGTACTAGTCCCGAAAAAACTAGTAATCATGTTCCTTCAATGCTTTAGGATTTTTAAATGATTAATATCAGATCTAAGAAAGTTCGCACTGGTGTTGTAATCATTCAAATAACTGCAAGATATATCCCCTTTCAACAAGTACTGAATATGCCATCACTTGCATCTAAATAGTACCGGAAAACTTGTAGTGACATTGGGCCCTAATACGAGACAATGTGGGAAAAAGACATTCAACATTTAACATGGAATAAAACCCAACGATGAAGAGGGCGGGGAGAATGAATTGAACTAATTGGAGTTGATCGTATGGCATGGCCAGGCCATGCAGGTGTAGTCCCTGCTGAATATTACCCGATATCTCCTATTCATAACAAATATATTGTTCTAACCCTAGCCTACGTTTGTTCTCTATCGTGTATCGGTAATTGTTACAATGTAGTGAGTTGGTGTAGACGATGATGTGACTTCCACGTAAAATCTTATAGATTAGGCAGTTATATCATGACAAGTCTACAATTATAGGATTAGGTCTATTATTAGAGCAGTACTAATATCATAGTAGACCATAATTCTACAAATTCACCGCCTAAAACTTCAGTTTGACCAGCTTGATTGTCGGATATTTGTTGTGATCCTGTCTGAAGAATGAATGATGTTACGGGTTCTCTGCTACAACTACTCATCTGAGGACAGGAGATCACTGTCCTGGCTCAATACCGAGAGCATTGAACCAGCTTCTTTTATGTAATATTTAGTTTTGCGCACCAGTTATTCACAATATATTAATTTCATCTATCCGGAGCGGTGGCTGAACATCCGGAATCATCGTTACGTAGCGGTAAATAAATCCCCAAAATCAATAGCTCTGTAAGTCTTCGACATTTGATGCTGACCGCATTAGTTTTAATGAACTCATCTAGCTGAAGTCGCTCGGTCATGCATTCGCACCAGATCACGAGTGGGAACGCCGGGCTCATTTTCTCCTGCTACCGCTAGCCAGTTTAGATCAGTCACTTTTCGATATATTGATGACCTGTGAAATATATGTTCGAACCTTCTCGCTTCTGAATCTTGATTTCACTGGGTGGGCACGATTCAATTATAGGTGTTAATGGCTAAATTATTGTCAAACTGCAAATACTCGTGGCATCTTCAATAATAACAACCTCTAAATAAAATTAAGTTGATGTACTTGATAAACCGATGCTCATGAGCAGCTTCCAGAACCATCTGAAGCTGTTAAACTTGCCAAACTCCAAAGGGTACGTAAAGGTCTATCGCTCACTAAACTGAGGGCTTGGAATGTCACATAAGAATAATTGATGTGCTCGAAATTGCAAACGCAAACGACCATCGTATTATGGGTGGATGAAAACGCGTAGCAAGTTTCATGGCTAACCCATTGGTCTATTAAGAAGCAACACTTTTGTTGATTTTCAGTCGTGAACTAAGCACTTTCTTGGAAACAGCAGTAAAATGCCTCCCAACCTTCCTTTTTACGTCTTTCTCCACATGGAACATAAGTTATCTGGAGTCCGTCTACAATAACTTCTGTTCCCGAGACTGGGTTAAGGAGGAGTAC